GCGAAAGTGTTCCGCATGTGTTTTCGAAAGACAAAAATAACTCTTGGCAGGAACTGTTGGAAATGGTGCTGATTGGAAAGGTGTCAACAAAAATGTCCATGGGTTTTATATATTCCACTGGTCATTGGTCACTACATATGAATAAAACAGAAACCAGCGCTAGCAAGCGTGCAAGTGTGCGCTTTCCAGTTCTTCCTGCACACGTGCAACTTTAAGTGAGTTGTGTCATGTTGTGTCACAAAAGGATCGTTCACTGGGCGCGGCGCCCCCTTGTTTCGTCCCAACCCGGACGCCCCATTCTTGGGACCCAGAATGGATCCATTCCGGGATCGCGATCCATCAGTCCAAACCTTCAATTCTGCCAACAAACAACCAACCACTGGTTGTTGACTCGTCTTTTTGCATCCATCTTCCTCCTAGGGCCGTGCTCCGTGCTCCCGTGGTCTCCAGAGGTGTGCTCCCCCGATCTCATTAAATTATCCACCACTCGCTTCACACATGACTTGTTCCGAGCGACGCCAAGGAGTTCTGCATCCAAGGATGGAAGGTCCCCTTGGCCGACTTCGCCTGGCGCAACCGCATCCACCGCGTAGCATAGGTAGGTGAAGACCAATGACGGCCATGGACCAAAGGGCTGGACATGTGCTGAACACCCGACGAATTCCGAGAAAGACCAACCTATGGAACTTTGGGGGACTCTGAAGTTGGCTCCTTTGAACTCCTTGCCGGGTCCGAAATCCGTCCCTCCCGACTCGCTGTTTCCAACACGGCAACGCAACGAGCAAGAACACCCCAGCAGATCGTCCGGTCGGAGCGGGGACAAGCATCGTCTGGTCGGAGCAGGGGTCGTCTGGTTGTCTTTACTGATCCTAGATCTTGATCCCCTGGTGGGCCCCAGCGAGTGCCACGCGCGGCACGCACTCATATCCAGTCGGGATCGGAAAGAGAAATTGAAGGGTCAAACTGTCAAACACCATCCCACGCAACGAGGTGCAAATCTGGAACATTCTTGCCAACCTGGACTTTGTCTGATCAGAGGGCGTTCTGATCCTTGTGCCCCCTTACCAAGATAAGCGACGCTTGGTAGCATGTTCTTGCAACGGTTACTCTCCCTCCAACAAACATGGCAGTGGACAACCCCTTGTTTGTAGAGGAACATAGTCTTTCCAGTAGCCATATTCCACTTCCATGCCGTTTTCAGGGAGTGCAATGTCCATCTACCCGCACCCACATCATTGCTTTCATCCAACGACTTGGCATGACTGCTGGAAGGCTAACTGGAAGGGAAGCAGGGGATTCACTTTCGACTCCTGGCAGAATGGCAGAATGGATTGGTGGGGACCCTCCCCTAAACCCATCTAAACCCTCCAAGGTGCATCTCCAAATCGACCAAAACACTCCACCGGCCCGGAGCTTCGAGAGGAGGCCCAACACTGAGCTTCCCCAGCCCAACACTCCACCAGATCGCGGGAGGCATCCCGCATCAGCTCCCAGACCTGCGGTCTACTAACGCAGGAAGAGTCTACCCGAGCCTCAGAGGGTAGCAGGATCTGCCCAAATCTCAGACTTGATCTCACCTCTTGTTCTGAGTGAAGTTCTGAGACATCCAATCCACCCTTTTTTTTCTTGCAAACTTGTTGGGTTTCTTGGGGCCTTGTGATCCTGGTGCATCCTCTGTGCCCATTGACACATTGGGTCCGCCGTGCCCAATGGGTCACGAATCGATCAGGTTTCCTCACCCCAGACAAACCTTCAGAACAGGAAACCTCTCCAACATCTTCACCCACAAAAGGCAGCACCTCCTCTCAAAGGCAGCCCCTCCTCTCGACACAACAGGAGCCCAACTTCAGTCGCACCTGGAACAGGCCCTGCAGCTGAATTCCGATCCCCTGAAAATACGCCCCCCAACAAAAGAATCCTCTCATCGCATCAGCCCCCTCTTCCACCATGACCGCCGGCCAATTGTTGCCCATCCACCCATCCACCAATCCAACAGCGACCCCAAGATCGGCTCGCACCGACCCGTCGGCTTCCGGCCTTCTCCGACTTCGGCTCCCCGGTCTCCACGACCCTCCGCGTCGTCACTTCGTGCTTCGCAGGCTGCTGCTGCTTGGGTGCAGAAGCTTGGTCCGCGGCACCTCGGTCGAGCCGTTGTTGGGAGGTAGAAAGGCTGCAGAAAGGCTTGGTCAGACTGCTGGTCTCCATTATCTGGTTGGTATCATATCCAGATATGTTCATCTGGTTGGTATGAAGCTTCTGTATTATTATGTACTATCCATGAAGTGCTGAGGAAGGAACACTCATGGACTCACACGGGTTCTTGTTCTACCGATGGCATGAACCTCCTTCTTCGGCTGCAGTACTTGCTTTGCACCAACTCATCACTGCAGACTCAGTAGACTCAGTAGACTCAGACCCCAGTAGACCTCGTGCTCCTTCGCGCCTTGGCCGCAAGAGTCCAAGTCTTTCTGGATCGGCGCCGTGGGCACCTGCGAACACCGCTCCCCGGTGGAGCGTGTTAAAGCCCGGGTCGGCCGGTTCTCACACGGCAAGAAGGACCGGTCAAATGGGTGTTTTAATACAGAAAGTAGAACTACACGGGGTTTTTACACATACAATCCCATGCACACCTCTGGCTATCGGAAGAAGAGAAGCCAGGTCTGAGCGATCGGGGTGAAAGAAGCGGCTCCTGCACCCTTGAGTGTCCACCAAAATGATAGCTGCTGCTCTTGATGAACGAGAAATCTGGAAGCCGGACATTCATAGATGATCTCGACCACCACCCCCACCAGGACCCTACATGGCTGATCTCTGCCCTCTCAATCATGGTGTGCTTTTGGGTGTGTGTTTCCATTCACCCAGCCTGGCCCAGCCAGGCTAAGTCGATCCCCGAAGCTCCAAAGGAGGAAATCCAGGAAGCCTATTCTCACCGGCCCATGGCTTAGCTTGGCCCCTGAAGGCCCAGCCTTGGAAAGAACAAAAGATCCGCAGGATGCAGCCTCCTGGGCCCTCTCCATCCTTCTCCTGGGCCCTCCTCCCACTGGCCCACTTTTAGAAGGTCCTTCTCGCAAACGAAGAAAAGGGAAACAAGTGAAAACCTGCTGTATCTGGATTTACAAGCCATACATCATGTTCCTCATGGACACTTCCAGCCTGGTTCTCTTTACCCTCGAACTCCAACTTCTGCCTACTCTGCTTCTTGGCTCCTCCACCTGAACAGCGATGGATGGGAGTCTTCCAGGCTAAGACTTTCTGCATATCTTTACAAGTCGGCTTGTCTGGAATGTCAAAGCAGAGGCTTTCGTCGTGTTGCCGAACACCGAGCGGATTCAACGAAACGGAACACCAAGCAGCCCGATGGGACTTATGGGATTGATGGAAGTGCGCCGCAAGCAAATGCACTGAGACCACTAAGACAACTGCCATGAAATCTGCGTTGTTCAGAGAGAACGCAAGAAAGAAAGCAGCTGTTTTTTGGAGAAAGGAAGAAAAGAGCTTGTCACGGTCTTTTCAAGAATAATGTGGCAAGAACTTCTGCAGGTTCTTTTTGATTCTCAAAAAATGAAGGCCCTAGTTTATCTTGCCTGCGGGAAGGGTACCAATTCAGCAAACACTTCACATTCACCAATCACGTCAATCTGCCGAATTCCGCCAGATCGGTTTTTCCCCGTCGAACGGTGACAGCGCCGTTGCCCGCCTGCGATGTTGGTGATATCATCCATGACTTGCGGCATGGCTACGACTTCCCTGCGGCATAGCTCTTCAACATGGGCTAGTACGTGTTCCAACATGGGGCCTTCACGAACATCACAAACTAGCCTTCATATATGTATATATATACATATATATATATATATTATATTTTTTTATTATGTAGAGAGAGAGAGGTCTAAAAAACAAAAAAAACTTTTCACCATATCCCATCATGCACAAGACACGGAGTCTGCCCTTGGTCATACGGCATATGCTGCCATATGCTGCTACGGTTATGGCAGCATATGCTGCTACGGTTTTTTGAGGCCGAATATTCCCGGTCCAAAGGCGATTGGCGAAAACACACTGGAAAAAGCTATATAGCTGGCGCGGGCTCCAAACAAGAAAGAACACGCCCTTCTCAACTGGGAGCCTCCAAGTGTAATGGCGGAATGGACCTAGGCCTTTATGATGTATGCTACAGACTACAGCCTACAGCCTACCTCTGAAGCTTCAAGGACTCATCAAAGGCAAAAAAATGCAAACCAAAGTCCGCAAACGATGACCAAGAAAAGACCTTGCACTTGGGGGGAGCCCCAATGCTCCGCGCGCCCAAGACCCAATGCTCCCGCAAATCCCTCCGCCTGCCACAACTCAAGGTGGAGCGTGGGCAAATACCGGCGTCCAGAACGCGCACGTGTTGTCCCTAAATCAAGTCTTGGAAGATGACCCAAAAATGGGAACGGTGATCGATGTCAAAAGCAAGAGGCTCAAAAACTTGTGATCCATCAACAAAAGATCAGTTTCACCTCATAGACTAACACCTACCTGACTCATCCTGGATGTATGCTGACTTCTCATGCTCTTCATCCTTGCGCCATGACGTCCAGGCTCGAATCAAAAGGAGCGCGGCGAACGGCCGGGATGCAGATCAATAAAGCAACAGCAGAGAGGTGAGTCGAAGAGAAAAGGGCAAAGAAGAAGAAGAAGAAGAAGCAGGAGGAGGAGGAGGAGGAGGAAACGGACCTCACAAATCCCACCACCAAACTCATGTCATGGAGGTGGTAGGTGGTAGGTCTGTCGTGATGCTCTGGGGAGAGTTGCCTTTTCCATGCTGAACCAACAAGGGGGGGGAACAACCCAAACCATAGATTCTGTCCAATCCTCATAATGTATCTTGGGTATTCAAAAAAAAAGTCCAGTTCGACTCTAACAAAGGTACCAACAAAGTCTTAAAGGAAACTTCCACTATGCCACCATGATGCAGCACCATGCCAAACCTGCAGCCCATCCCATCCCCGCTGGTCCTTCTGAAGTTGCTGAAAGAGAGATGAGTCCTGACAGTCAAGGCCGACGAATCCCGACCTGATACTTAGGGGGGCACAGAAACGAGGGAGCCCCTTCAAACTGGTCTTTTCGAGTCTCGGTCCGGAAAAAAGATCACGGCAGCTGCACTTGCGACCGAAAAAGGAATCAGGGAATCTGATGCCGAGCCCTGGTGTGGAATGAGATGCATCTCTGGGCCCCTCAAGTGGTCTTGGCTCTCAGGGGCGGCATGGTTTTCTTTTGCACTTTTAAGTGCTATGAAGAAGATGTGGTGAAAGTTCAACTTACGTGATACGCTACTCTATGTAGGAAGCATTTCATCATGTCATCCCTTCTCCAGCACACTGCCAGTCAGCCCACTCTCGTGGGTGCTACGTCAGGCGCATTTTCGCGCCTGCTCTTTGCAGAGGAAGCCCGGCAGGTAGAAGGCGTCCTCCAGGGAGCCGTGTCCTGCCTGTACCTCACCGGACAGAGCTTCAGAGGCCCAGGCAGAGCTGGCAGCGAACATGAATGCCTTGGACCATGGGATGGTCATTCTTATTGGTGGGTGAAGGTGGGGATCAATGCGAGGTATAAGGATTCAAGAACATGAAAGGAGTCTCCGTAAGAAGTCTTATCTTGACTTCAATCCTCCCAAAATGCTCCAAGATCCTACGACACTACCCATCCAAGCCTCTAGCAAGCTGTCTGGATGTGGGTCCATGAAAAATCCGACGACTGGTCGTCTGAATGGATGCGCTCGCCAGCGTTCGGATGCGCTGAGCCTCGCCTCTTTGGGTACAAACTGGAGAAAGTGGTTTTCGTCGATCGATGGCATCGCCTCAGGCTTGAGCGGCAAAGGTAGAGCAGCAGCAAACACACACACACACACACGACCTTTGGTAGATGTATGTAGATGTAGCAATGTACATTTAGTTAGGAAAATACTAGAAAGGCCCAAATTTGGACACCTCTGCAAGGAGTTGCTAATCTAATTCCGAAATCAGTTTGTTGTCCCACGTACAAGTTGGAGCTTCCTTGGTTCCAACTTTAGCCGACAACCATTGGCACGCGAATACCGGCCACCCAGCTAAGGTCCACTGTTCAGTTCGACCCACCCACCTGGTGACCCATCCCGATCTCGGGGCCAAACAACAATCTGAACACGCCTGTATTCGATGCCAGCGCCATGCAGGTCTCGAAAGGGTTCTCGATCATGTGGTGATGGCCACGATTCAACATGTTCTCATCCATTGCTCTCAGTGTTCTTTGCTCTTCGTGTTCATCCAATCATCCTTGGAAGAGTCGCATGCTGTGTGACAGACGAATGTTTGAAGAAGATGTGATTTTCGGCATCGCATGGGTCGCTCTGCAGCTCGGACTGGCGCCAACAAATAGATCCCAAAGCTTGGGCTCGCACTGACATTGGGCGGTGGGCGGTGGGCACCGGGGGGGCCCGACTTAAAATGACCATTTTCAAATAAACCGAAACATGGTCAACCTACCAGGCCATTCCTACTTTTCTTAGGGTGGGGGAAGACTCTTGACAAACAGCACCCTCCCTAGAGGCACCAGAACTTCGCTGCTGGGGACTTTCCACCAAAAACATACAAAGACATGATGCCAAAACAAATGCCAAAGTAAAAAACAAAAACACAACCAACAACTAAAACAAATTCCAAAGCCATCATCGCAACCGATGTTTCCAGAATGATTTGTTTTTCTTCTTTTGTTGATGACCAATGACCACCGTGGCCTGTCAAGGCAACAACACGCATTGACAGTTGCAAAGTGGCAACAAAAAATAATGTTGGCATATCACCTGTCAACAATTGTTCAATGTGTCGTGCACCCATAGGTCGTTTTTTTGCGGCCATGTGAAGGATTCCAACACCATGCAAAATGAACCTGCACCATCTGCACCATCAAAACCACATGAAACGACATGACCAACAGCAAATCAACATCCGCAAGATCCGCAAATTCCACAGATTTCTCGCAATTCACACGCTGCAGCATGTGAGTTTGTGAGTGCAACTCCAAACAGCCCAGAAAAACTAAAAATTCATGGTTTTCACTGAAACATGTGCTTTCGTTCCTTTGAACCAATTCGGGAACAGTCAAATTCAACAAAGCGTTCGTCATGTGAGCGTGCAAGGCCGCAATCAGATTGCTGAAAAAATCCACTTGTTGATCTGCAAGCTTGATTGTTTTGGATCAAGAACATCATGCACGCAAACGCTTTCTTCCAGGGTCGCCACCGTGCTGACTGAAAGTCACGCCACTGCTTCTACCAGGAAACTGCTTGGCAGCTGTCAGAAGAACTTTTCCATGTCTTTGGCAACGCGGCAATCCTGCAGACGTGGTGCGATGGTTCAAAGCAAAACCTTCTGGAACATGCCTACGCTGTTTTGAACACTTTTGGGTGCGCAAGTGCTGGAATGTGACTTGCCCGGCCAGCTGAAGCGTGTTCAGGCACAGAAAGCAAGACGTTGCATCTGTGAGGCAGCGAACCTGGAATTTCCAAATCTTGCTGGCTTTCCACGAAGAACGTTGGTAGCAGACCTTACGATAAACTACATTTTCCCTGGAGCTTTAAGCTCACAACAGGCTCACTCGATGAGTCCGGTACACTCCAAAACTCGTGCTCACGCTCTCGAAACTCTCCAAGCAAACAACAACTCAAGCTAACGCAGTGCACTCCCTCGCGCCCTTTTACTCACACTTGAGCCAAAAGTAACAGTCATTGAACAACTGTACATATGCAAACTACACACAGCAACTGTTTACAAACAACTTCTAAACACTCGAAAGCGCTAAAGAACTCTTTCAAAACTTCAAGAAACAAACTGCAGTGTTAAAGTCCGGTTCTCTCCTTTTCTGAACACGAACCAAACAACACAAAACAAACAAACGAAACAAAATAACAAGCACGACCAAGGTGGCCATCCAACAATTGGATTTCTTCACCCCCTCTTGGACAGTTTGTTCGGATCAACTGGCTGACATTACGCCTTCTTATTCTTCTTCAGTGAGGACAAACATGTCGAACAAAAGTCTTTCGACATTGGCGCTACCATGCCTGAGCAAGTTGGATTCACACAAACCTTGCTCTCACTCACTGGGAAATAGACCTTCTCACGCTGCCCCAACGACTTGGGCAATGGTACATCACTCACCGTGATAGAAGGTTCCTTCTTCAAACGACTTGAAAACCAGCATGCTCACGACGCCGACTCAGACAGCAGCAGCTCAGCAGGCTGCCACAAATGACCCCCGCTGCAAAGACCATAGCGGCCGCGGCTTCCAAGCTAAGCGCAGCAAGCATTGTTCCCACATCCACGGCCATCATCATACCTCAGGACGGTATGAGCGAAATATCAAAGCTGTGCTTATCCTATGCCTGATCTAAGTTACGAAGACTCGTCTTACGAACTTCTGCAAAAACGTGCCATTCTGGACTCGAAAAATGCACGACTCTTACACGGTTAATTTGGCTTTAAATCCTTTAAGGATTAGCTCGCAAAGCTTCTTCGGATGATGCCGTGTCTCTTTCCAATTGACATCTTTGGAAGGCAAATGATCATGGTGACCATTACAGACACAGACCTTGAGACTTTCAAGTAAACGGGTACTATCAGGGTCTATTTTCAAAGCCTTCTTGACCAATTGACTCTTCTGCATCAAATCGACTGAACACGCTTCAACGAAGGTGGAATATAGAGCTCTCTTTCTCAGAAACTCTTTCGTTTGATTCCATCCTCAATAAGCGCATCGCTTTGGCCATTCAATCGCTACAAAATCAGCTACTTCTGACAAACGTAGAAAACCTGTCCAAAGCTTATGGATTCGATACGACTCTTTCATGTAATCCTGATCATACTTCTTGAGACAAATGTATTGAAACGGACATCCTCCGGTACATGGAATCGACGACCATAAGACAACAAGCTGTCCTTTCTTCCTGTTTTTTCCACGAGTACGGACGCCGTGTGGGCATGGTGCCCAGGTCATCTTTGAAGGAAAGGAAAAACAGTCAGATGGTGGAGAAAAGGACAAAAACAACCCAACAACAAACCAAACAAGCCAAACAGAGCCCACCGGCCGAGTCTCCACCATCTTGTAGTCTTTCCTCTGTGCTAAGGTGAAACAGGTGAAACGAAGACTATTCTCTATCAATGGGCCTGAATTCTCGAACGAAGAGCATGGCAGCGCGGGTTTATGCTCTAGCAAAACTTCCAAAAGTCTTCAAATGGACTTTACTTCCCAATTACCAGTGACCAGCGGCCACTGCACAGTGTGGCAAAAACCTGGTCACGATGCAGGTCAGGAGCATAGCTATGCTCCTACGCCGGTTGTATCCATGTCAAAAGGATCAGTGGTTGCTATGCTTCATGCCGTGGAAAAAGCCTTTCTTGTGGCACAACCCATTCAACTGGTTGCACTCACAAGTCCAGTGGCATACTAGTTGATGATATAGAAGGTGGCGGTCATAGCGAACGGCGAAAGCCTGCAGGTAAGGGCGCGAAAGGCATTCCCCGAAGGGAGGTCATCTCAGCACCCTTCGGCGCCCGGAGGTGCCAAAACGGGGTGTCCCCTAACTCTGTGAAATGCTGCAACATTACGAAAAATGGTCTGTTGCGCGCAGCGCCCGTGTGAAACAGGTGAAACATAGGACCTACTGGGGAGGCCCTCTGTGGCGAGACCGGTTTTTGCTGTGGTTTTT